AGCTCTGCAACTTCGTTTCTTTCTCATCACCTACACACACTTTCCAGTCTAAACAGTTCTAATATTCTGTATTTGGTCTTAGTTGTTACATGTTTTGCTTCTAAATAATTAATTTAATTTATCAATCTATTGTATCTACGTTAACATATAATCTAAATGACCATGTTTTCCAGAATATAAATCGCACTTTTTATACTTAGGTGTGACTTATATATTAAAATGTATAACTTTGCATTTATTTTCACACTGACAGCCACTAGAGGGCACTGGTGCGACTTAAACAACATAGCGACTAATATATACTGTATATATTTTTCATTATGCGTTTTTTGGCTGGTGCGACTTATACTCTGGAGCAACTTATAGTCTGGAAAATATGGTAGTTAAATCACCTTTTGTTTAATTACCAAATTACACACAAAATGAATAAACATCAAAGAGTCTAAATGTTCTAATGAAAACATGTTTGTTGTGAAAATGTGTTTTTTACATACCTCGTAGTCGTCTCTATTCAAACTCCCCCAACCCGACCGTGAGTCACATCGTTGTGACTGGATTCATACATATGGATCAGTATTCCCTCGCATACAAATTCATTTCCTTCCACCGGGGACAGAGTGAGTTCAGTGCTGTGGATGTGAGAAATCAATAAGTGTGTTACTGAAAACACTGAATATTTTCCAAACTGAACAGCTCTGCTTTACAAAAATACACAAAGGGTTTACGCTGCCGGACTCAATTTAGGATTCAGGTTAGGTGGAATTGAACCCACAACCTTCTGCTTGGGATCCTGCCACTGCTCCACTAAAGCCTCTTTTCCTCACTGCTATCTAACCTGTTCATGAATCCTGTGGAAACAGGTGACACATGTGAGACTCTGTACATGTTGTTGTTGTTTATCAGCTCCGTGCTGCGACGCCGCCGTTTCCTCGGTGACAAATAAAAACATTTTGAGTCATGCTCCAGTATCTCCTTACATCAAACTGCACAAGAAGTAAATCCTTCATAACAAAAGATGCCATCAACAATCACCTGCAGTGCAGAGAAGGTAGGGTGGGGGCGCTCTTGCTCTTTATATAAAGGTCATAATCTCACCCAGATGTGGGACAGCCCAGCGTGTGCCTGCCAAAGCCCACACTCAGTATGGAATTAAATGGAGAAAAACATTTATTTCATCAACACGGTTTGTGATGTGGTTTCACAACATGTTTGTGATGTTAATAAATCCAGGATTCTGGATTTCCTCATCGCAGCGGTTCACCGCCAGCATTCTCATGGGAAATATTTTGGAAGGATTTTGGAAAAATAAATTGGTCAAGAACACAAATCAAACAATTTGAAATTTAAGGCCTCCTCCGGTGGGAAATAAACATCAGAGCGAAACCCCACCTTCCACTCCCTCAAGGCAAATATCAAATTTATGCAACAGCGTTTGTGAAAGTTTAGATTTTTGTAAATTAATTTTTTTAATTTATTCATCCGACTTTAGAAGCTTTTTCAGATAAACAGATTTCACCTGAGAATATAAACAACAACATCCATTTGTTATTTTCATTTTCTATTTTCATTTTAGTTCTCGCTAACTGAGCAGTGCGTCCTTCGTGAGCTGCGACTTCATATGCCTGCTGTCCGCTGTTGCATTCGTACGTTGTTCGAAAGCCAGACAAGTAAAAGTGGAATGAAAATCAATGACGCAGTGAACTGTGTGAATTTGAATGAAAGGGCAGAGCATTTTAATTAAAACACCACAGTCTTCTGGTCTGTTGTCTGTCAGCGTGTACTTCGCTCTCATGAGTCATGGAGGCGACTGCCGACCAGACCATTCTGCTCACGTGTTAATCACATGCATCATCTCACAAACTTCTGACCAGAATGTGATTAAGAACATTATACAGATTAGACTTGGCCCATGTGTCATCTGCCTGCACTCAGATGACACTGTTCTAGCATCATCATCATCATCATCATCATCATCATATAAGCACTGTTACTGTTGAGTTTTCAATGTTTCTAAATGGATATTAAATGTGATTCTTGAGTAAAAACAAGGATAAAAACATGAAAATCCAATCTTTAAATCATCACCGTCACCTCCACTCTCCTCTCTCACTGCAGCTGGAACAAATCCAGCCATTCAATCTCCTCTAATTTACAAAGTTCACATGTCGACCCTCACCTGACTTTCTTTTTTTCACCTAATACCGCTCCTCGGGTTCTCTAACGCCCCCCAGAGGAGGTGTACCTGACACTTTTTAGACATCACTGCTTTAGATAATTTGATTTTTTTTTTTTTTATAATGAAACTTTGAATGTTCATAAAAATTCAGCTGCAGCGTTGGCCCAGTGTGGATTTGGTCAATTTAGTCTGATAAGATTTATCAGCTGTTGTCACTTACTGGCTGTCTTCATCTCACACACCCAGCTGCCTCCTCTTCACTTCCTGGCAGGGAATGTGCCGATTCACACTAATTAAAGAAAAACATCATTATAATCCAGCTAAAACTGCATGAAAATGTAACCTGGAACAACCAAGGACAGATCAGTGTCCTGGTGGAGTAAATCTGTTCTACTTGATGCCAGGATCCCCCACTGCCTCACCTGCCCCCCGCTGCCCCCTCCCCTCTGTCGCCTGTGTTTTTTAGACTTTGAAATTAGGTTTTATATCCGCATGGATCACTCACTTCTTCATACAGTATTTTATACATATATATATGCATATATAAATACATACATTTATATGCACCGTATTTAACAGACTATAAGTCGCACTAGTGCCCTCTAGTGGCTGTTTTTGTGAAAAAACAAACGTGTATATAAATATGTATCTATAAAAAATATAGATAGATATATACCGTATATTTTGGACTATAAGTCGCACTTTTTTTCACCCCTTGCCTGGGTTTGGGACTTATACTGAGAGGCAACTTATATATTAAAATATATAATTTCACATATGCTAGCAGAGTGTATTGGCAAGAATCTCATGATACGATGCGTATATCAATACAGGATTAATGGTACGATATCGTGAAACAAAATATTGCGGTATTTCAGTGTATTGATATTTTCTTACGCCTTAACATATTTTAGTAAATGATAAATGAAAACTGTGAAAAAATGAAAATGTTTCATGCGGCAGAAAATGTCTCAGTGTTGCCACATACATTATGACAAAATGGAAGTGTTTCTGAGAATTTCATGCCAGATGTAAGAAGGCATGTGAGGCCACAGCTGTGAGTGGGTGTCATGTCAGGGTGGAGGGAGACCGGAAGGGAGGTTCAGTGGTTAACATGAAGACACCAGTCCTGCATTATTCAGTGAAAGGTCAGATAGTTACCCCTGAGTGTGGTCTGATGACTCCGCAACACAAAACACCATCAATGACACAATTCAAATATTAATCACATGGTCAAACGATGTCTGTGTCTGTAAAACACACAGATTGGAGTTCAGCTCAATGTTCACTGAATTACTATATTTTCCGGAGTGTAAGTCAGACCAGTGCCCTCTAGTGGCTGTAAGTGTGAACATAACGAACATGTAAATTTTCAGTGGTAAAGGAGTAGCAGATACTGGTACACAAGCCTAGAGTGCCCTCTAGCGGCTGTCAGTATGAAAATAACAAACGTGAAATTGTATATTTTGATGTAATATAAGTCACACCTGAGAAAAAGTGGCAAACGATTTATAGCTCCCTGTGATTGCTCCCTCGCTGGGTTGTAACTCCACGTCCCACTGGAGGACCAGTTGTCAGATGAGATGTCTCAACTGTCTGGGTCTGGAGCTGGGACTGAGACAGACAGAGAGACAGAAGTTAGGACAGTTTACTCTTACACTGAAAACTGTCTGAAAAAAAAAGACATTTTCTGAAATTTCAGAGCGAAGCCCATGGATGATCTGCTCGGAGATAAGAATGCAGAACTGAAATCCACTTCCTTTAAATGTTCTTTCAGATTACGAGAAATTAAGAAACTTTTTTTTTTTTTTTTTGCAAATCTTTGTTATTTTTAAATGATTTCATTTTAAGTTTGGTAAAAAATTTGCGACGTTTTCTTCAATTGAAAAAATGCTTCATCTTTGAAGGTTCAACAAAAACCTGATCAGAGGTCAAAGGTCACCCACACAAACTGCAAAGATGTGGGACAAATAAGGGACTAAATAATTTGTCTTTGTGGTCGTCAGAGAACAGTTCTCCTTGAGAACAGAAACAGTACCAGACAATGGGTCGTTTCTTCTCCTGAGGCTCAGTCTCTCCTCTGTCAGAGTGGGAAATATCAAGAGCACAATATCGTGGGAAAATTAGCACAGAGGAAATTCCACAAGAGGTTTTTTTTCTGCAGATTTGAATTTCTTTCTTTCTTTTTATCACTCTCTCCAGTCAGAAGGTGCTCAGACTACAGCGGCTTAGTTTCCCTGAAAAAGAATGAGTGCACGCTTAGTCTCTCGGACAGACACATTCCAGTCTGACTGACATCTCACAGATGCATGAACAACTGACCCACACACACACACTGTCCAAGTGTTCAGCCCCCACAAGAACAAATCGTCCAAGAAATAAACTCAAATAAATATATATGACTGCACATTTATTCAAATTAAAATTTAAAGTATCTAAATTAGTAAATGCTTTTTTTCGTCACATCCTTTACCGAATTTTAAAGATTTGTTTTGTTTTATTCGTTGGTTCTTGTGACAGTGATAGTTTCGGCGTGATACTTCCGCCTTCGTCACACCGTTACCGGAACTGTCACGGTTAATGAATCATTTAATTTTTTTTTAACTAATTTTTTTAAAAAGAGACAAATAAATAAATAAATAAATAATTCGTAGACGTAATAAACTTTTACAATACATTTGTTCCTTTATATTCCATTTAAATGTGTTTTGTTTTAGTTGATTTTTTTTTTCTTAAATTTGTTTTGTTCCTATTAAATTAATTTTTATTGCGGTTTGTTTTTGGTTTTTTTGTTTTGTTTGTTTGTTCTGTTTTTTTTATCATTTTATCTTTTTTTTTTTTTTAATTTATGGTGCTGGTGGGTGAAGGAGTGTAAATACACTTAACTCCCTGGAAATGAATCTCGCCGAGTCTTGCAGGTTCGGATGAATTTCCCTAAAGTCCGCGAGTACGCGCGCGCGCGCAACCGCCCCCGTGCACAGCAGAGACTTCAGCCCTTCAACTTGAAGACGTTTTCCTCTAAACTTCTCATTCAGCAGCAGCAGCAGCAGTAGTAGTAATAGTAGACGCAGCAGCAGCAGCAGCATCAGACGCAGCAGCAGTATGCCTTTGTTCAGCAGATGGTGGACTTTTGTCGCAGCTTCTCTGTGCTACGTCGGTCTTCTGGTGTCTGGTGAGAGAGACAAGAGACAAGGTAAGATGGAGACAAATAAAGAAAGTTGTTTTTTAAAAAAAAAATGTAATAAATGATCATAACAATAAGGTTGTGGTGAACCTACTGTAAGTGTGTCGCTGCCGCTCTACAGTAAAGTTTTACTTCTCCAGACTTTTACAAAAAAAAAACAACTCTCAAACTTAGTTTGTGTTTTTATATTTTATATTTACTCTGCTGAGTTTCCGGTGAGTTTATTCTTACACGAGAGTTTCCACCAACTTTCTTACCCTGATCCTTACTGTTGTTTTCTACTGTTGTTGTGACGTCACTGCCAGTGACGGTATAAGAACGAAACACTATAGAAAACTCTTTATTATCGCGTAGTTTGTTTTTTTTTTCTTCTTAAAATAAAGTGATATTTTTTACATACCACACCGCGTAATTAACCCAACAACATAAAGATCTTTTTTTTAAATAATTTAATGCTCTTGTTAATAGTAACGTTATTTTTTTTATGTTACGTTATATTACATACTACATATGCTAATTACACGTGTGTCATCTATGTTAAACGAGTTCATTTTCACTTTTGGTTTTTCAGGTTATCCTAGGTTATTATAACAATAATAGGTTATTGTTCAGGTTATCCTTTTATTGTTTTTGTTTTTGTTTACCTACCAACCAGCTGCTTGTTGTCCCCCATCCACTGCGGCCGTGGTGGGTCGACTCAGGTTTATCTAATCTTTCTCAAACATTAACCACGGCAGTGACTAAAACTCTGTATGATTGAGTTGGGTGGTGTTGGGGATTGGCCCTTTTATTATGTGTGTGTGTGTGTGTGTGTATTACTGTGTGTAGTAAGGTGGCGTCATCAGAGGCCAAAGTCCAGATTAACAGTAATATCGGCCACATCCTACTCTCAGACTTCCTGGCACGGCTTTACTTGTTGTTTGTTTTGCCAGTAGAAAAAACACCAGACTATAGAAATATTGTTTAACAAATTAGAAAATATAAAAGTAAGACATGTAACTTGATCTAAATGTGTTTCAAAATGCAAGATATTATTTGCAACATTGGGACCAGTGGTGATTTGTTCAAGACACCATTGACTAAAGTTGACCAGAACCTGATCTCAGGAGTGTATTAAACCCTGTTGAAGCTCAGCACTGCATTTCAAAACACACATTTTTGCATCTTCTCTTTACTGTTTGTGTCTAGCTCAGCACTGCATTTCAAAACACACACATTTTTGCATCTTCTCATTACTGTCTGTGTCTCACAGTTTCACACACCTCACAGTCAGAGTTCCTCTGTCACAGTGGAGTTATTACAGAGGCCTGTTGTGGCAACAAAGACCGAAAAATCCATGCAATTTGTGGTGAGATTGTGAGGCGGATCACGGGCCTTGATCCTGGATTATTGGAGCCGGGCTGTGCTGTGGTGTTATTAGCCGTAGAGTCCTGCAGGCGCTTAAACACAAGCAGGAGAATTTGTATGTAGAAGTTGTACACAGACGACACGGGCGAAAAATGTTGTTTTGATTCAGAGGCGGGGGGCTGGGGGGCCGGGGGCATGG